TCCACACTTACCCACACACCCATATCCTCCTTACTTCAGAAAATTGACAATTCGAAAATATGTATCATGCCAAATTTGAAATAATGTTTGATTTGTGCAAGATATGACGTAAAATACAAATTTCATTTGATTCGAAACATGAAACTAAAGAGAGTCAACTTAAAACCATTTTTTATCTATATTTCATCTATCTTTTCTATTGATGATTTAACTGTTCATCATATTGTTCGAAACGGATAAAGCGAAATATGAAATAAAGAAATTGTTAAAGTTCTACAGAAAAATTTCTCTTAACTACTTGTTTCACTTTTAACAAGAATGATTTAATGGCTGTCAATGAACATCAATCTTGAATAATGGTTGATTATTCATATATAGAATCTACATCTGCTTGTATACAAGTATTATGCAAACAGAGTTCACAAAAACAATTTTCAAATTATCGACAAAAAGAAATTGACCTTACTATTGAACATGAAATTGAATTTATTAAAAAAATATCAAACATCTAATGGAAACTGGACAGTTTATTTTACATATGGAACATGGTTTACTATTGAAGTTTTGACAACAACTGGAGAAACAATTAAATTCAAAACAATTTTAAAAACTAAAATTTGTAGTGTGAAAACAAAATTCTGATGGAGATTGAGGAGAATCTTATGTAAGATTTGTTTTTATAAAACATACGTATATATTCAGTACCAACAAGCTTAAGCTATGCATCATTGGCTTTTTTCATCATTAATGTTTAAAAAAATCGATCTAACTGCAATTCGAACAATTATTTAATTTATTATGATAAAACAATTGACAAATTAAGATTGGAATCAACCAACAATTAGTGAAGATTTTAATGGAAATTTTATGATTAGTCATACAAATTATCAAAACACTTATATATGATCAGGAATTTGAATTTGTGGCAAAATCAAATTCCTTGAAATCATCTCATTTTGTAAAATAATAAACTTATACCACTATAGAGCGGTATGATAGGGAATATTAAAACACGTTTGTCGAAGTAAAAGTTATTAATCTTCAAGTTCGAGGACACAACATCATGAAAGTAGTGGGACATCAAAAGAAAAAGTTTTTATAAGTTTTGTTAGTTCAAATAACGAACTCATTTTGAGGATGTTGGTGTGGGAGTAAAAGAAGAGAAGATGCACGCACCAACACCCACATCGACACCCCACCCTCTATTATCATGTCTTATTTCTTTTCAAAGAACATCATCAACATTCGAATCATCTACTATTTAAAACAAAAACAAATATAATTATTAATCAATTCTTTATTTTCTTACTTAAAACGAATAAAATGAATTAGTTCATCTATTAAATATTGATTAAGTGCTATATATTGAGATTGTTGTTCGTATTTAACTCATACAATCTAGACCCCATCACACACTGCCAACTGAATTAACGTTAATGTTCAATTAAGCAATATAATTCGTGCATTAACATTTAAATCGTCTAAAAAAGATGATTTACATCTTAATGTGCCAATTATATTGATCAATTTAACATTAACGTTCATGTACTTTTTTAGTCTGGTTGTGGCCTCAGCGATTTATGGGTAAAGTCATTCTTCTTTTGTCAAAATATTTCGGATATAGTGTGCTCTTTCTGAAACACAATATTATATTTCGATGAATAAAATAAAGTATGTCAAATAGACATCACTATAAGAAAAAGTCTGCGTACAAATTGTCAAAGATATTATTCAATAGAAGATTATATTTGATTTTATTTTGTTAAACTGAAAAAATAAGTACTTCGACAATTAGAGATACAACAGTTCTAGTTTCACTCTGTCGACCGTAGAGATGTGCAGGGTAAGCTTTTTTCATATTCTGTATGGATATCTCGATGTATTCGAGCATGGAATGCACATGATAATTATGTAAAAACAAGTAGCTCAACGTGCTTTTAATATATATTTACTTGAAGTAAAAAAACACAAGGAAAATTGATTTGATTTGAGTAGTTAGTTTTAATTTTACCGTTAGGCTGCAAATGTATTAAAATAAATGAATATAAAAACAGTAGAAAAACGCCGACGAGCGGTACAAGTTTTGGAATATTTTATAAAAGAATTTCGTGATAAAATCGACACACCATAATTCGAAATCCAAGATTTAACAGTAGGAATTAGTACTTATGGAATATTTTCAAATTTAAGATGAGAATCTTTTCTTAGATTTTGATAAGCTTGCAAACTTAATGGGACATCAAAATCAATCGATGTGTTTTATGAACGATTTCATGATTTACCAACTTCTAGCGATTATTATCAAAATGATCCATGTAAACATTTCTTGTTTTTTTTCTTTAGATTGATAAAGAATTTGTTGGTTCAGATGAATGTTTAACTTAGATGACAATCGATTATTCTTCACAATATGAATCTAAGCCAGAAGCAAGAACAAATTCATTTCGTAATTGAAATTATTTTAGATTTACAAACAAAATAAAATTATTCTAATTCATTTTCCCTGTTGCATTGATATCGAACTCTTCTACTATTTCTTTTCTTCATTTTGTTTTTTCTTTATTCTGAATCTGATCTATCGAAAGAAATATTTTGTCGATAAAATATGCTCATTTCTTTTCATTTATATGTAGAAAAAGATAAAAAATAGAAATAAGAAGAAAAAAGGGATTAAATTTTCGTTTGATTTGAAATTAAAGGGAAAAGTAATGAGGAAACAACCGTGAATGATCCACTCTTTCAAATGTGGACCAATGAAATCAAAAGATTTTCAAAATATTTAATAATCTCGTGAATTTTTCTCAGTGAATAGAACGTCGAATAGATTTTTGAAAGAATGATTAGTTCTTGTTTAGAGATTTATTATCTGATCAATAAACGGAATTATTTGAAAAAAAAACATATTTCGATTGTTTATATGATATTATCACCGCATCACCAAACTAATTCATAATTAATCAATAATTATCTAACCAATATTTTTCTTTACATATTCATTAGTTAGTTGAATATATAACTTAGTTACATATATTATGACTATTTGTCTAAAATTTGATTATCTCAAAGTAATTTTATCATTACAAAATTGTTCATATTCACCTTCAGACTTCTTTAGTCTAATCCTCCTATGTCAATAACTCGTTGTAGTATTGAAATGATGAAAAATGATATTAATAAAAACGAACAAATAGCAGCCGTTTATGAATCTGTTCGACGATTTTCACCTGAAGTTCTTTCTTGAAAAAAAAACAGTTTTGTTAATAATGTATCATCAATAGAAATTAAATCTTTCAATGAACAAATAAGAATAACGTTTGAATATTTTTAGCTTTCTTTAACTATTATTTTAACTTATTTATCATTAGCTTAAACAAATAAGAAATAGTTTGGAACCTTATCTCAACGATTTTCTTCGTTTATCTCATGATCAAGGTAACGAAAAATAAAAGATTTCAAAAAATGTGAATATTTAGTATTCTGGGTGATGATATTTATGTTCGCGCTGTTCTATAATTGTTATAAAAAAAACAGATTTTCATTCGAAAAGTAAACATACTTTATCAATGCTAATACTTTAAAAGACAAAACAAATAAAACATCTATAAAGAAATTTCGATTTAAATTCAAAATTGATCATTTGTTTTTTCATAGGTTTTCGAAGATAATGATATACATTGTGTACTATTTCCTATTTTGAAATATCTTGGCTAATTAGTCAATCAATATCTTATTGATGATACTTCAAATTATTTTACAAAACAAATGATCGCATCGGATAGTTGATTTAGTATAACATAGTTCTGATCGTTAAATAAAAATTCTACCATGTGAGAATTACTTCAATTAATTATGCTTTATATTATTGGAAAACATGCGAATAATCGAATGAACGCTACAGTTAATTTCTATCATATAATAATCAGATAAAAATCTATAGATTTTTTTCATTTAGATTTCTTATGACAAACTTAATGAACATTCGTTTTCTGCTCTACTGGAATTATCGTGTGATTTCAATACAGTAAACACATTTCATTGATAACAAATGATGCAAAAGTAATGGCACAAAATGTCGACCCTTATGTCTGTTCTATAAATAGGCTTTAAAAATAAAATACTGTTATGTGTTGATAGGAAATTTTCAATGAAATGAGACGAATAAGAAAGAAAAATAATTGTACAAAAAATTTGCAATTTCATATATACCGTTCGAAAGAGGAGAAAATTTCCTATCAACTCATAACAATATTTTATTTTCAAACAGTGTTTATCGAAGAGTTATCCAAGAAATATGGGAATCAATTTGTTCCATCTTTTTCAAAATTCCATGAAAGGTGTGGATATGTTTTGACGGTATCTCTCTTTTTTGTTATGTCGTTCGGTTTACAAACGTGTTATAAAAAAAAAAACTATATACGATTAGAAAGAGAAGAAAAAACAAATATGTTTTGGAAATAACAGTTATCTTTCAGCATCTGTTTTATCCAAGAGAAATAGTGCTTGACATTTTGTGCTATTATTTTTGCATCATGCGTTATAATTAAGATCCTGTTATTGTCCATAAGTTTGACAAAGCACTAATTCAAAGATTCGTTAGATTTTTTGAGATTTTAAACTGAAATAAATTCTAGTCCATCTTCTCAAATCTAATAGTTTAAACAAGATAAAATGTTCTTCAATACATTCTAAGACAAATAGACATTTTATAATTATGTCTATAGAACATCGGAGATTTTTACCTTCTGAATCATTCGATTTCTGATAAACTATTCTTATATCAACAATAAAATAAACGATAAGATTAACTTTTCTTACTGCCATATACAAAAAAATATAGAAATCTTTACAATATGTTTCGATTCCATTGACTTTTGAGAAGTAAAACTTTATCGAGAAAAGTGGTTACTATTGTTTTTTTTACACAAATCATTTATTTTATTTTTAGTTTTTTCTCGGATGTTTTTCATGAGAAACTAGCGGAAAAAAGTTCCGAATAACATCTACTGCATCAGAGTATTCGAACAATTGTCTCTTGCTTGTTGTTGATCTTGAGCGATTATTGTCAACAATATATACTTATTAATAGCTAGTTCAATTAGACAAGGAAGATGACTGCGATGAAGAAATTGTTCAGCATAGTCCATATGAATGTCGAATGGAATCAATGTAGATAAATGAGTAAATTCAATATTATTTGTTGTTTTATCTTGTTGTTCAAGTTCATTGAATAATTCGAGTGTTTTAAGATGAGGTAGAGCTCGAGTGAGACGTGCAAAGAAAAGACTTTCAAATGGTTTGACATCATCGAAAAGTGAAAATTGATTTGAAATGAAATCAAGACGATTACCAATACATGGAAGCGAATAGATTTGACATTGACTATGATTATTATTGAAATAGTTAACAGTACAATCAACAGATTCTTGCTGATATTTCAAACAGCTATGACGAATTGTATCAATTTCTATATGAATAGGGTTTTCTAATATTGAACGAATGTGAAAAATAAATTGATGTAAAGGAGGCATGTATGAAACAATATGTTTCTTCAAATCAAATCCATTAACAAAATCATTGAGTCCACTTGTTGTTCCATTAATAGCTAATAATAATGTTAAATATTCAACATTTGCCACACGTTGTAGAAGTGGAACTATACATTCTTTATAGTTAATTATATTTCGATAGATTAAGAAATATTACTTACAGATGTTGTTTGAAAAATATCACCTTTGTATACATAAACATGTAAAACGTTGATACTCAATGAGCAGAGTTGTGAGCCCAATTGACTTAGTATATATCCACAATCGTCGAATTCATTTAATGTTATTCGAATATGAGTCAGGTGATATGATTGTGGGAAAAACAATTCATCAGAATTCAATACGTTTGGTACAATACAGTCATCATCAAGTTCGAAAAATAAAATTTCTCTATCCTTGTATACATCTAGTTGAACAAATTGAGGTATCATTGGAAGGAGAGGTTTGTTGCGGCGAAAAATACGGTAAAGATTCATACCTAATAAAATATATATATATATACGAATGTTATAATATATTATTTTTCAATGTAGTCTTTTGTTTTTTGCTAATAGTAATGTGGCAAAAAAGACTTCTATATTTAGAACTGTGTAGATATCCCATATGTATCACAAATCTATGAATTTTTTTTTCCATAAAATAGCAATAAGAGATTTTCAAAGCATAGAATTTCCTGTACTTTCTAAGCGAAGGATAAACTGATGTTGAATTTAAATACAGTTAAAGAAAATATACTTGATTATAATTTACCTGATGTATCTAACGTATAAGGAGTGCCTGTTTCATCATGTTGTCTATCAATCATTATTTTCAAATGTGTCAAATGTGGAACAGTTCCATTATAATTCTTTTTAGCAAAATTGATTATTTCATGAATATGTCGAGTGTTAAGTGCCAATGACTGAATATTATGATGATATGAGACATGACATCTGAATAAAAATTGTTCAATATGTGTTTTATATGGCGATTTTACATAATCAAAAGTTAAATCAACTGAATTACATTTATCAAGTACAAGTTGTTCCAAAAGATTATTACCAACAGTTATAATAGAACTAAGTAATATCAAGCGAGGTTTGATTTTATTCATAATAATTAAAATTAACTCATCAGGTAAATCGAGTAAGTGAACATTATCTTCTGTATAAAACAATAAAAATAAATAAATGAGATCTGAAAATAGTTACATACTCATACTTAAGGAACAATTTATTGTTTATATAACATGTTTGACAAAGATTAGAATAGACGTATACATGTATATGAATATGTGAAGAGTTACGTGTTGACGGACATTGTCGAAATGAGAAGCAATCTCATTGATGATCAGTTATTATTTTAACAAAAGATGTTCTTAGAAAAAGAAATATGGAAACAACCAATCAGATGAAATCATATTGAAGATATTTTCACTCTACAATCTAATTTATTAATTTTAAATATATTTAATATTAGAATTGACTTATAATAATAGTAAAGATTATAGAATGCTTATTATCATTCAGTTACCTGTTAATAGATGCACATTCATTTAGATATTATATAAATATTGATGTTTTATAATAATATTTGAATATTTCTTGATAAGTCTTTAGCCATTTATAAACCATTTCCCAAGTTTAGCCATCCTATCATCATTATAAAAACATAACATTTATACTTTCTTTTTTGTTTCAAAAATTTTAATTTGAAAAAAAAATCGAAATGATAAGAATATCGTTAAAAAACTAAGCTACTATCATAAACAGAATTCAATGTTTGAATCCAAAGTATGTTAAAACTATGATAAAGACTTAGAAGTTTGTTATTTAAAAAAGATTAGTAAAAAATATTTGAGTATAAAAAATCGAATCTAATAATAAAAAGTTAACGAACAATATTATGATTATGATAATCTTTAAGATGATATCCACCTAAGAAAAATTAAGTGCACTCAAATTGAAAATATATAGTAACAAAAAATCTTTTTTTTTTATAGTTTAGTTGAAGTTTTCAATACTAATTATTTGATCTTCGAGCGAAACTTTGTACAATATTTTTGTAAATTGTTTTCATATCATTTGTTGATTTAAACAGAGTTGATATTTTTTACTAAAACTCTTATAATATTTAATATAGTTGTTCTTCAAATTCTTTATAAACGTTTGTCAGCATAATCCTTTTGATAGTAAAATGTGGAACTCATAGGTCTTCGTTAGCATTATTAGCCTGATACAATATACCTAAAGTGACGAAGCTCAATAAACATGGATCTGTCATTTGATATTGGTCGGAGATGATGTTCCTAGGAAATGCAAAAACCTTTCAAAACACGATGATCGCCAAGAGCACGGAGTATCTTCTCGAAAGCCAAGGATCTGAAAGTCAAAATATCAATAGATTAATATTTTTTCAGAAACTGATGTTCGAATTATTGAATAAAAATCTTTTTTGACAATCACAAATTCTAAATAGTTCAATACTTGCTTCAAAACTATGCACCAAAAATAAATCATAACTCACTGAGCTATATTGTAGAAGGGTTTTGATTTGAATTTGATGCACCAAACGACAGTTTGTATTACATGACTTTTAAGATTTTCTTTCGTCCACATGTTTACTTCAATAGGTACTATACGTTTAAGATAGATCACTTTCAACCTTATTTCATGCCTTTGGGATAGAAAATGCCACTAGTACCTATGACTGAGTGTTAAAAATGTATGGACCTGAGCCGAACACAGTTCGAAATCCTAATGTAAACATTTTCTTCCAAAGAGAAAGTCTCGAATCATTCAGCATATGTATTTCATAAATCTTGTTCAATTTGACTTCCATTTAAAACAATTCTATTAACATGTTTTCATTATTTATTTTATTAATTTAATCAAAACATAAGAAAAAGTTACAACACAGGAAAATAAATATAGAAATCTTCTAAATCAATATTTATACGAGAACTTAGATTTAATTGTTTCACTTTCATACAATGCAATCGTGTTTTATCATTTGTAAATATTTTTGTGACAATTATTAATTTATCGTAACTAACTGCTAATTTAGTAAAATAAAGTAGACATGTTTTTCTTTTATCATTAAGAAATTGCTCGAGATAATCATAATCATTTGAACTTACATTATTTGATATTGATGATTGTCTCTTAAGATTATAAACAGTTAATATTTAAAGACAAAGAAATTTGTATGAAAAATTCATCTTCGAATGGAATTACATCATCGACTATGCAATCTTATGATATAATTGAAAATAATATTTGAAAATGTAATATCAAACAAAGAAAGATAATCAAACATGAATGATAATGAAAATACATTATATTTTATATCAGTATATCAATAATTGATCATACAGTCCACTTGTTAATATATATTATTAGAAAAAGTTTTTCGAATATCATCTTTAGATCAATGATGAATTAATTGATTCAATTGAATAAATGTACAATAACAAAAGTTAAATGTATGAAGTCACAACATATGAACAATAATTCATTATAAATATGTTTACCATCAATAAATCTTGTTTGATTTTCAATAGAAAGATGTAAATTTAATTGTTCAATATATTCTAGAATATATAAAACAATATATTATTATTATTGATTAAAATAACAAAAAACAATTCTCACGAAATTATTCATTTACATCAGATAAATCATTAAAATCTTCATCGAACAGTTCATCAGTTGACACCAAATTAAATTTACCCTCGATCAAGTTTTTCAATATTTAATAATCTTTATTTCTTCTCATTTATTATTCATATGTTTTGTATTTGGTCCTTTTTTATTTTTTTAATATTCATCCTACTTGTCTATAACGAAAATGAGTATAAATAGAAGATAAAGCAAAGTTCTTTTTTTCTCTAAATGTTCAAGAGAAAGTTCGTCTAAAATAAATGTCATCTCTTGTCGATTTAACAAACAACTAAATATTTATTTTAACTATATGAAGATAAACATTTTCAGTCTTACTGTTCAAACATATCAGTGATGTTTGTTTAAAATCAAAAACAGAGACGA